CTTCTTAATTTATTTATCAAGTGCTTCTTAATTTATGATTCCTTCTTAGTTTTGATGTTTGAAGCCGGAGGATTCTTAAGGTAGCCCATGGATTACTTGCAGGTATTATATAATTTATATATATATATATATATATATATGTATGTATGTATGTATGTATGTATGTATGTATGTATGTATGTATGTATGCATGCATGCATGCATGCATGTATGTGTGTGTGTGTATATATATATATATATATATATATATATTGAATAAGAAAATAAAATTAAAGAAAATATGGAATAGATCATTCATTTGATTAATTGAAAGACGAATGATTCTTCCATTTGAATATTAGTGTTCTTTCTAAGCCAAGGTGTAACTCCTAAGGTCTCAAATTAGCAACCACAAAAAATTATCGCACAAAAAAAGTTAAAAAAAAAAATAATTGATGTCCTTAAAAGTTAATTAACAAGCCAGCAGCCGATTGTAAACAATCATTTTACCAAACATTGCTTCACAAATAGCTAATACTACCGGTTAATCAAAACAGCCAACAGAATCCGCTGCCATCAATCAGCCAACAGAATCAGCTAACAGCTAACAGCCAACAGCCAATTGCCAAACACCCCCTTTGATTCTTTATATATTTATTTTGTTGTTATTTTTTGATTTTTTTTGCAAAACATGATTAGTTTAGTAAAACTAAAAATTTAAAATTCATAATATCTTTAGTCATAGGTTGGTAGTTTTCAATCATTCGAACATTATATCCATAATTTTCATCTCTTTTATCCTTGATTGATGGTTAATCTATGGTTCAATTGATATATAGAATTCCACAACAAAGTTCGAAATGAGATTTTTTATTTTAATCATGTGTTAATCTAATAAGATAGAATTCATATTTAATCTATCTTTTTATAAATTCTTTTGAATTTGTTGTCATGTCTTGTAGGGTTCCGAGATATCTGTTCCAATGTACTCATCTCATCTTTGTCTTTTATCTCATGTACAAGTTGATCATACCATTAACATTTAAATCTAGGACTTCAAAAAAATAAGCTAACTATTAATCAAGGATTTGAAAGTAGAATTTATCGATTTAGTGATAGAATGATTGCAATTTGTCCACCAAGGACCTAAAGTATTATAGATTTTTATATATTTGCTTATTATTACTAAAAACATATTTTCTCTTTGCAAAAAATTATAAATTTATAAAAATTAACTAAAATAATATTTATGATAATTTAAGTCGTTGATTAATAGTTTTGAATCATTCAGACTCGATATCCATAATTTTCATTTTCTGATCCTTGATAAATTGTTAATCTACTTTCCTAATTGATAAAATTCTATTAAAAAATTTTAAATGAGAGTTTTGATTTTAATCTCGTGTAAGTCGTGTTGATCTAATGAGATAGAACTCATGTTTAATCTATCTTTTTTCAACTTCTTTTAAATTTCTTGTTTTGTGGAGTTCCGAGATATATGCAGGGGTGAATTCACCATGTAATCAATGGGGGCACATGCCCCCAATAAAGTTCACAACTTTAGGGGTAATAATGAATACTAGTATGTATTATTAACAAAAAGAGGTAGTGCCCCCAATTCAAAAACTCAGTGCCCCCATTAATTTATACGAACTCAAATACGGAGTATAAAGAATTGGTGTGCAAAGCAGCAAACGTGGAGTACACTCGCAAGCCCACCCCAATGTCCTATCTAATTTATACTCCGTATATTTTAAAATATTTAATCTAGTGATATGATCTAACCCCTAAAAAATCATTCGGCATAGTCATGAAGTGTTTGCAAAAAATTAAAATAAGTGATAGTTTTTGGCTACAATCATTCGTCATACTCAATTTTTGGCTTAAAAATTTTAAAATGAGTGTTTTCAAGTGATAGTTTTTGCTTAAATTTAATCACTTAAAAACCAAAAACTGGAAGCAGGTTGAAGCGTGCTTTAAACTGTTTTTCACTTTTTCTATTGTCCAAAAACCAGTTATTTTACCAAACACTACTAACTTTTATATTTTAAGAATCACTTTTTTCTCAAACACTACTAAATTTTATTATTAAGCACTTTCTCCAAAATAAAGCGAAACTGAGGAAGTGTTTATTATCCAGAATGTTTTTCCACATTTTATATTAAGTGCCCCCAATAACTAAAATTCCTGGATCCGCCCCTGGATATATGTTCCACCGTATTCATCCTTATCTCTTATCAAACGTACATGTACATTTCTTGTTTAATCACACCATCATGCATAAATCATTTCCAATGTATCCAAAAAAAACAATTATTCACATATTTTTTGTTATACATATACAGTGGCGGATCTAGGCATCGGGGGTCATTGTATGCACAAAATTATACATGAACATTATATGTACATAAAATTTCAAAATAAAAAATCATTACAATATGAATACTAGAATACAAAATGTAATGTAGTACATGGTAAAAAACAGTAAATTAGTAATTATTTGTTGCTAGTTTTCTTTTTAATTACTCTCCACGTCCCGCTAAGGTTGTTCCATTTTACCTTTTCAATTTATCCACTAAGATTGTCAATACCAAATTTGGTAAAGTTTGTGTGGCTCTAAATCATTTTGACTTAATCAATTCAATATCAACCACATAAACCATTTTTTAATGGTTTGCGTGTTACTCCCTCTTGTCCCATTGTTAGTGGAACGGAGGGTGTACATATTTAAAATATGATTTTATGCCAACCAAATTAATGGATTTGACATAAATACATGTATAAGCGTATACAATTATATTCTTATATTTTATTTATCGGTATTTATTTCGTTCATGAGAGAGAAAATTAAGATAACACTTCCTGGTTTAAATATTAAATAAATTGAAATATGGAGTATTAGAGAATAAATTGTAGAAGTGTTAAAATAATAATAATGATAATTATAATAAAGATAATCTAATCATTTATATATTTAGGGACATAAAAATCCTTAAACTAAAATAGTGGATGATCAAAGCTGCTCGCCTGCTCTTCACAATTTGAAAAAAATGCCAATTGGCTTCACAATTTGAAAAAAATGCCAATTGGGTTTGGTATTTGATGCTTTTAGAATGTAGGACCTCGAGTCCATCTGTGGCTTCAAGAAGAGACATGGCACTTACTCCGTATAAAACAAAATCATATGAAGCCTAGGGGAGTTTCGACCCATTGACCTGTAGCCTACGAGAAATTGTATATCAATGCTACAACCATGTAAGCTAGGAACAATTTTTGAGGTGATGCCTAGGCTTCACCTCATTATACACTAAGTCTGCCCCTGTACATATATACATATACATATGCTCTATTTCAAAACAAAACATCTACATATGCTCCATATAATTTAGTTTGATTAAAATAATTTGTTAGATTAAAAGTTTGAAGTAATTTTGCCAATTGAATAAAAGAAAGATGGGTCAATTTTGCATACATAAACACACACAGACATGTAGTGACTGAATGATTGAAATTTGTTCACCAAGCACTTAACATATCATAGGTTAATATTTTTATTGCTAATTTTTCATAATTGACTCTTAGCAAAAATTTAGTAGTTTAATAAAAAAAAACCCATGATATTTTAAGTCGTATATATTGATAGTTTTCAATCAGTTGGACTCTATATATATCGATAATTGCATAATAAAATTGTGAATGATATTTTTGATTTTAATATTGTGTTAATCTAATGAGATAGAATCATAGAATTTATATTTAATCTCCATTTTAGAGCTTCCTTTAAATTTCTTATTTTGTGGAGTTCCAAGATATATGTTCCACCATATTCATCCTTATGTTTTAACAAACGTACACCATACATGCACATAGTACACGCCTTGTTTGATCATACTTATTTTATTCATATCATGGAGTTCCGAGATACCTATTCCACCGTATTCATCCTTATCTTTTATGATTTAATATTGTGTTAATCTAATGAGATAGAATCATAGAATTTATATTTAATCTCCATTTTAGAGCTTCCTTTAAATTTCTTATTTTGTGGAGTTCCAAGATATATGTTCCACCGTATTCATCCTTATGTTTTAACAAACGTACACCATACATGCACATAGTACACGCCTTGTTTGATCATACTTATTTGATTCATATCATGGAGTTCCGAGATACCTATTCCACCGTATTCATCCTTATCTTTTATGAAACGTACACCGTACATGTACACGTTTTGTCATACTTATTGGATCCTTATCTTTTGTGGAGTTCCGAGATGCCTATTCCACCGTATTCATCCTATCAAACATACACCCTACCTACACTTCTTATTTCATCATCCTACATATTTGATCCTTATCTTTTGTGAAGCTCTGAGATATGTCTTCCGTCGTATTCATCCTTATCTCTTATCAAACGTATACCGTACACTTCTTGTTTGATCATACCAGGACATCATGCATACATCCTTTCTGAAGTATCCAAAAATACCATCATGCGCACATATTTATGCCATACACACATATACATATGTATTTTACTTCGATGTTCAATACAAATAACTTTTTAGGAGAAAAATGAAAAGTACTATAATTTTGGCCATTGGATGAGAAAATAGAAGAATGGGAAATTTACCGGGATATGACTAAAACTCAATGAGTTTCTCAATCTATGACCTAACTAGTTTTTATACCTTTGTATGACCAAAAATCCAAGAACAAATAGAAAATTCGTTTATATTTAAATGTTAAATGACAAAAATACCCTTATTTAAAATATGTGCATTTTGCACTAATTTCGTCCAATTAAAATTACTGCACTTTATATTGCCGTTAATGCACAAAATTAATGCATGACTTTACTGCACATCCGGTAATAATCACTGTACTTTCCCTAAAATTAATTCTCTTCTTATTCAATTGAGGATTTTTTTTAAATTTAATAATTTTATTATTTTACGTTTAACTAAGTACATTGCATTTGATGATGATATCACTGCTTTGTGTTACTACAATACTAGTCATAATCACTGCATAACAAAATTTCTTAATTCATTCGTTCACTGCTATGTACAACATGTCTATTATTTATTGTCATATTCGTTGTCTTATTCAAGACTTATTGTCATATTCAGTAGCTAATGCTCAATGCACATGTTTAATGTCCATAAACCCTAAATTCAAACAAACTTTAATTTCTTTTTTTAAGGAACAAATTAAACAAACTTTAATTTCAAAAATAGAAAATTAAAAAGAACCCTTTTCAACCCATTTCAAGCCAATGTTCTGTAATACCATTCCAATACTCAATGCATTCACATTTTCAACGTATTCCCAATTTTTCCCAAAGTTCTCTAATTCCGAAGCCTGGCTTTCAAATTCCATCTTCAAGAACAGCCTATCTGGCGTAAACGACGCTCCATTGACGCTCTGCAGCCACGATTGAAAAGAATAGGTGGGGTAGCAGTAAGGATAAGCGATCCAAAAAGAAGAGAAGAAGAAGCTAAGTGATGGACGACCGCCGCCGCCGCCTTATAAGAGTGAGCTTTTCTCTTCGCGAAATCAGATTTGGGAAACTGGGCATCTTCTTGTGCTGGCCGGTGGCCGGCGGGCGGCGCCTTGACACCCAGGTCGGGCGATTGTGCTCCCAGGCTAGAGAACGACCTTTGGAAGGCGGCGGCGATGGACAGTACGTGGCTGGCAGCTAGAAGGCGGGCAGAGGTTCGACGGCTGCTGTTGCGTGGGTGAGTGGCGGAAGTTATACGTGAGAGGGTGTAGTTAGGGTCGTAGAAAATGAGTAGAAGGTTAGGATTTTATAGGTATAAGCTAAGGGGTATATTTGTCCATAAAAATTAATTATTATTTATTAATTACGAATTTTATTTAAATATTATGAATTATAATATTATTTTGAGAAAAAAACTTGTTAGGTCATAGATTGAGAAACTCGTTGAGTTTTAGTCATACCTAGGGTAATTAATCCTAGAAGAATCGGGACATCGAGTCATTTTTGCGTAACTACACACACGAACATATACATATACAAACACACACACACAATAGAGTAATCTTTTCCTCAATCCGACTTGAACCGTAGTCCAATCGCCTCCATTTGAACCATAACTTCGAAACATAAGCTAATTATCAATTAAGAATATGAAAGGTGAAAACTATCGATTCAGGGCTAGAATGTTTGAAAATTGTCCATGAATGACCTAAATATCATGGATTTCGATCAATTTTTAGTGATATTTTATTCACAAATATTTATTAGTTTAATAAAATTAAAAAATAGTTAAAACCAAAAAATATTAGAATTCATGTTATTCTAAATGTTAGATTGCTAGTTTTCAGTCCTGTTACCTGCGGGTCTTATATAAACAGATTTTAAGTATGGTAATTGGTAAAGCCAATGTAAGTATCAAATTAATTAGATTTTTTTTGGCAAAAAATTAATCAGATTTTTAATATGCGCAATTCAATGACCATTTATGATTTCCTATGTCCAAGCAATAAATGGTTTTGAATTTTTGTCTATTTTCGTAACGCTACATGTTCCCACAATAGAGAACAAAATCTGTGAAAGCACATTAACCATTCGAGTCTTTTATATTATTCCAAATAATAACCCAATCATCTCATTATTGGTGTAATCATTATTCATTCCCTACTTAATTATAGGGAGATTTCGGTCTCCAAAGTCCACACTTAGATTTTCCACAATTAAGCCAGGCAAGTGTTTCTGACCGATAGGAGAAAATCCCACAAATCGGCGTCGCATTTTTTACTCAAAAATTCAAAATGAATCTAAATTGCATTAATGATTTAATGCATGCAAAAATCGAAGTTGCGTCTCCTACTTATTCTTAATTGATGATCGTAGCTATCACGATTATATTGATGTAACATATATACAAGTTATACATTTAGACAGGGACGGAGCCAACAATAACATACATACAAGTTATACATTTAGTCATTTAGACTACTCTAGGTATATATACTTTTTTTTTTAAATACACAAGGCATTTAAAAAGGACACCAATTCAATACGACAATGTGACATCTACATATTTAGAAAAGAAAATTTGAAAAGCTTTAATTTAATAATCTAATTCCTTTTCTCTCTAATCCCCAACATTCTCCATCCCTGCACCAGGAGCAGCCAACGGCTACCGATGAAAACAAAAATCCTGATTATTCTACTCTTTTAATATCATGTGAAAATTTTCCCAATGATCATCACAAGACTTAATCAACACGGAATTGATATACGTAATAAATTTACATCAACGTAAATAATTTTCTAATTTTTTTTATCACACCGTTATACTCCATTCATCCCTTTTTATTGGAATAAATTTGACTTTTCAAGTTAAAAATGTTAAATTTTGGCCGATTATATATTTATACACGATAATCATGATAATATGGAAATGTTCTTTGTTAAAGATATTATAATAAAATTATAAATTTATTAAATTTTATGTAAATATATTAGTTAAAATAATGGATCAAAGTTCAGTCTTTGACCGGAAGTGAAAGATGGCTGAGTGAAAAGGGACAGAGGTAGAAGTAAATTTGAGGAAAAATCAATGCTTTTTTCAATGAATATTGCTAAATTAAATTTGAAAGACAAAAATATAACTTAGCTTATTTTCAATTTTTTCAAAAAAGTGACAAATTCAATGACTAGTTGTTAGTGATTCATTGTCTACCAGTGACTTATCACTCTGAAATATACTATGGCTATGTTTGGCACAATGAACTGGAGCTGGAGAATAATGTCTGAAATAAGAGTTATTGTCTGAATTTAAAATTATTGTTTGAAACTGATTCTAAAGTGTTGAATCTGAATTGTTAGTTGAATGAAGTAAATCCGTTTGGCAAAAAGAGCTGAAAAGGTGTCTGAAAAATATACAATTACATCATATATAGGAAACCTAATTTATTAATAAAAAAATTTATTATAATGACTTTTGTATTTTTACTAAATATTACGAGTAGTATCATAGAATACATATGCATATAAATCGATCCAAAATTTCCTTCATCATGGTTGTGAAAACCAATAACTTCATCCCATGTCGTCTCTATAATCCGTACGTATTACACTGATTTGCACAATAAGAATGGATGATGATGAGATAAAAATTTGTTGGTGGATTTAATCCTAAATAAATGAGGCCACCGATCGCGAAACCAACATGATATAAATTATCAAATTAAAGTAAAATGCATGCCTTAAATTTTAGTTGCAACTAATTAACGAAAAGGATCTGAGAAAGGTCAATACTGTATAGGAGGAAATGAATTTCTGGGGTTGTGAGATGTGGGATCAAAATTAAGCATCGTTAAAGCCGGCAGGGATGATTTGGGAATCATATTTGTCATATTTTCCTTCCGGAAAACTCCCTTACAAGTCAATTTTTCAATAACAATACTCTTGTTGAATATGCGACATACCTATCCATTTGAGCAATAACAAAAACTCTAAATACGGAGTAGCATTTATATTTGTATTTGTATTTATGATTGGTGAATATGAAATGATTAGGATCCATTTGAGCATGGGCTTGATAATGTAATACTCCTATGTGATTATTGTATTAGTGGGTTTGGGCCAGGGCTCTATTGTTTGGTAGAGCATCACTATTTATGAGAACTCTCCTACTTGCACAGTTGCACCAACTAATAGGACACTGGGAGTATTGGTTGGGCTTAATATTGGGCTTGGGCTCTAGGCTTCACTGTTAATGGGAATTTTGTGATGGTCTGTTGGGCTTGGGAGAGCCCTAGCTATTTATAAATGTAGTCTTTCTAGTGTAACGTTTTTCTTGTTTTCCCCATATATGGCTCGGAAATGTTGATAGCGCCTTTTGACTATTGACTATTGACTGTGAATTGGAGATTTTGTAACGGATGGAAGCTATAATAAATGTGAGTATGGGTTAACGTTGAGAAGGCATTAAATTCTTTAGCTCTCAATTTCCCCACGTACCAACTGTACAGCATGTATTTGTGTATGGCTAATAAAAGAAACTCGTAGTGTAGAGACATACTTTGGACTGTCCTATAAAGTTTGAGATAAGGTCTTGATGTTGATTCATACCATTTCTTAGAAAGTTTGTAATTTTGCCCTATTTAGTTAGAATGAATTTGAAGTATTTTGATGTAGTCATCTAGTCATTTAGTTTTTGAGTGATGTGATCTAGTCTATTTTCACATGATTTAGAGCCACTTTGTTAAAACTAAAATGAGTGGAATCGGTTAAAATTAATTAAATTCTAGTATATATAAGTGGTTAAAATTTTATTTTTATTTTGTTAATGAAATGAAGAAAAAGTTATACTCCATATGAAAATAGGTTAAAAAAACTCTTGGTGTCATTTTAGTCAACTCAGTAAAAATATTAACTTCAACCTTACTTATTCTGATTATTACATAATTCAGGGCGCACAAAATTATAATTGTGTGCTAGAAAAGTCGGCTAAAAATTAAAGGAGTTAAGCTAAAAATATATGTTACCAAATGGACTCTTAGTCAATTTTGTTTGGCACATATACTAATGGCATGATGATTTTGTTGGAGAAATACGTAGTATATATTTTGTTTGATACATATACCAAGAGGCCATATCCCAACTTAGTAATAACATTAATTTCACCCTTACGTATTACTCTTTGGTTTCTTATGGTATGATAATATGATATGATTTGATTATTTTATATCTTAGTCAGAACAAGTTTGATGTCTTGTTATTTTTTAACTTCAACAGAATCAGCTAGTCCAATCGCTTCAGTCAGTACTTCGGTTGATTCAACTAATTTTCAGTGTTAACAAATGGCTCTAGATATTTCCTTTTCTTCATTTCATATATATAACTAGTCGAAGTGCCCGTGTGATGCTCGGGTGCATCTTGAGTACAAGAACAACTTGTTTAAATATTTTATTTAATATGATGACACCTAATGTGTGATTTGTTACATAGAAAATGATAGCATGTAGAATTTATTGTAGTGTTTAGTAAATAATGATAGTTTGTAGGAAAAGGGAAATTGTAGTTCGAGTTAAGAGCTTTTAAAACTCACTTTGTATTCTGACCATGTTTCCTTTTGATTAATTCTTTGATACATTTAGCATGCATACACATCATTTATCATGTATTTATGGAATGGAAATTGTAAGGAAGATTTATCACATAAAGTAATCAAAACTATTCATTCATGAAAATAAATTTATATTATGATTCACTAATGTCATACTCAGCTTAAACTTAGTACGGAGTATAATAGTTGGGGAAGGGTTATTATGAGAATCCTTCTTGAGAAGAGAACCACTTATAATAAGAATTTCCAATCACAACCTTAATTTCATCTTACTCAATCATTGGTATGTATAGGATGCACATGTATCTTTTGTGTTCATTTTCATTTTCATGTATCCTAGTGTCGCAAAGGCTCCCACCTACGGTGGGATAAACATGCATCTTTTGTGTAAATATTCAAAATTCAAACGCGGTACTTTTTGTAATTTGTTGAGGTTAATTCCTCCCACTCCAATGTCTTAACACGTTCCCTTGGACTTTGATGGATATTTTAGTGGTTATGTGAAAGAAATGGCACAAGTATTTAGCACATAGGAGGAGAAACATTAAGTGGATCGAGTTCTTATTAAGCAATAACGGAAAATTACAACACATCCTATTGAAGCCGAAGCCGAGCGTCTAATCTGAGCTAGAATACAGAGACTTAGAGCTAATGCTAGTGAATACAAGTTGCCAATTC